AGAGAGAGAGAGAGAGAGAGAGAGAGAGAGAGAGAGAGAGAGAGAGAGATAGGGAATTTTTTTGCCAACATTTTATAGCTTGTAAAAAGCATTGTCATGTTTGAACTGCTATTCGTTTCCACTTCCTACTTTAATAATTTTCAGTGCGGTGGCGATCGTTTTGAAATTGCTGAATTCATTATTAAGTAAAAGTTGTGTCCTCCCATTTTCGATTTTATTTGATTGGGAATATGAAAGCAACTTTTGAAATGTTTCAACGTTTGTTTTTTTCATTTTGAAGAAGAATCAAAATCAAACCAAAAAAAAAGCGGAGAATGAAACAAATCATTTTAAGTCACTAGAGGATGATACAAAAACTATCAATCAAATTGTGGATATAACTCATTTGAGTGCAATTTTCTGTCCCTCTTCCCGCATTTGGAAGTCGAAAAACATGTTTTTTTTTATGCACAACAATAATAAAATAGTTACATAAATGGCCACAAAGAGGATATTCTTAATTAATCATAACGGACGTATTGCTCTCTTTACTCCGGTTTAAATGGCATTCGCTAAAGGTGAACCAACGAAGAATGGAGCATAAAAGAATGTCACAAGAACTGGTCGTTTGATTTAAATGCGGGCTCATTTCGATTGGCAAAGAGAGCGTTTTTTATTGGTTCAAATTTCAATAATAATCGTTTTTGCCTATTTCCATACGTAATTTATGTGTCGCTTATTTCAATTCGCTGTACACGAGTTGGCATGGCTAATGGTCAGTTTTCGAAGCTGACACAGCCACAATCGAATGTTATGCATATGGAATCGATAATAATCGCGATGAAATACGGTTCGCTTTTAGTATTACCAAGATGTTTATGCAGAGACAGTGTCACCGGCTCCATAAGAAATATGTCGCCGAACCGATTTAGAATTGTAATTTATGCAAATCATGTTTGCTGCAATTAACGCACCGCAACGCAGCTAATAAGAATTAGGCGCGTTTCAAAATGGTATAAATATGCATTTAGATTGGTGCAAACGACAGCAGAAAAAATAAAAATGTAACGCAGAAAGACTATGTGAAAGAAGCAGAAGAAGAAGAAGAAGAGGAGAGAGGGGGAGAGAGAGTAAGAGAGCAGAAATGCGAACGTAATATAGAAAAAAGAAGCAAAGCGGACAACGATAAGAATTGTCGTTCGATCATTAAGCTTTTAATTCTTACAAAATAGCTTAAGCTCATTTACGAGATAAATATTGTAATTTAATATATTGATATAATGGATGCGAAGCATTCTAACGATCTGATTTCTTATTTAACCGTGTATATGTTTTTTTTTATATTTTCACAGAGTGGACTTCAAACCGGAGCGAGGAATTTATGATTTACGCATTGAGAATACATCGTACAATCGTGATAATGGACGTTTTGAATGTCATATCAAAGCAATTGGAACTGGTGCCGATGTCCATCAACAATATTTCAATATTACAATATTGACACCGCCCCAACCGCCAATGGTTGCTCCTGGCACCATTGCCACTGCTACCGAAGACAAAAAATTGGACTTGACATGCAGCAGTATCGGTGGTTCTCCCGATCCAACCATCACGTAAGTCATTCATAAATATTTTATTTTGTGTTCGATATACATTTGAATGTCATCTCATCGATGATTAAATTGATTTTGATCGAACATTTTCAATAATTCTCCCATTGACTGAGAATGGGCAACACATTCCCATCGGTGAGACACAAGATGTCTGTCAAACTACAAGATTTAACGGAATTATCTAATCGATTTCGATTTAACCACTTAACCGTTAGCAAAAAATCGTAACGATGATGATGCATTTTTTTTTTGTTTCAAAAATTTAGCTGGTACCGTGAAGGAAGTGCAATCCCATTGCAAGCACCAATCAGCCGAGGCGGATCAAAAGATCGTCAAACCACAAGCACACTGTCAATAATACCACAAAAAGATGATGACGGTGCAAAGTATCGATGTGTCGTTTGGAATCGCGCTATGACCGATGGCCAACGCCTTGAAACAACAGTCACATTGAACGTTAACTGTAAGTAGCTTTGTGTTGATTTTTCTTCTTGGCGGAAAGTAAAATTTTATTTCAATTTGATTCGATTGTGAGCCGAGTATTTTTTTTCTCGCTTGGTCATATATTTAGCTTAAAGTTTTCAAAGCCAATCAAATACCTTTGATTCGGATAAAACCAAATGAACCGAAAGAAAAACATGCAAATCATTCGATCAACTAACAGAGAAAATTACATTATTTTCAAACGAATAGATAGTAGAAACGTCGCCGCATTACCCGAAATTCAAATACAAATGTTCGAGAAAAGTGTTGCACATTCGCTTCGGCGAATTTCAAAACGCGATGTTCAATTCGCGCAAAGAGAGCGTCAATAGGTTTTGCTTCCATTTTAATTAAAATATAAACATGTTCTGGCAGAATCATGCCATCCAAAACGAGAATATTTGCCATCGCCATTGCAATGGCTGTGTTGCTGTTGCTGCTACCACTTTAGCGTAACAACATACAAATAAACACAATGAAACCATTTGTGTATCGCATCGAATTAAACCAGTTTTAGTAACAAAGTTGATAACAACGACCACAACCGCAACACAACCAACGATGCTTTGATGCTGTTCATCAAATACAAAAGCATGATATGTACGCCGATGTAAACTATTTCGTTCACATTAAATTATCCATTGAAATCAATAAATTGATGGAAAAAAAAACTCTCGAAAGCTTCCGAAAGCCCAGAAAATGCACTCCACAAATGGAATACATTTTGAAATATACAGATGCACACATGAGCCACATGTCGAAGCGATTTAATATTACATGTTGTGTGTGCATGTATGTGTCGATTACTCAGGAATCAATTAAATTCTCTTTCGTAAATTTTCTATGACCATTTTTGGCAAATACATAAAATGTTAACAAACAACAGCATCGTAAATAAATGCACTTTGATAAGAATCGGGCATCGAATTCTAATTGCAGACCTTTCATCATGAATTACAATCACACGCTGAATATGCCATGTGTAGTTTATAAGCGCGTTGATATTTTCACAATCATAACTCAACCGAACTTATTTCCCCATAGAGAGCAAATTCAATTTAAATTCTATAACATAAAATAAATTAAAGTTTACAAAACCACCGAAATATATTGCACACACAAACACACACTCACCTCATAGCAGTAATGGTCATCGGTTTTTTTGTCCACAAAAAGCGCATTATTTGGTATCAAAATCACTTAAAAATGTTCATTTATAAATTAAAAGTGTCCGTTTTGTATTTCAGTTTTCAAATGCGTTTGCATTTGTGGCTATCAAACAAAATGTTTATTCATTTTACACCTGACGATCTCCCGAATCAATTTTGATACCCAGTGAAATATCCGCTTGTCGGTCGATAATAATTCTACCAAAATATTTGGCTTCGTTTCGCTTCATAAAAGAATAATAAAATGCAATCATTTCAACAGTATTTGTGCATACCTTGTAACTTTTCATTTGTGTGCAAAATTCCAACTTAACATTCTTAAGATGCTTCACAGGCCATTCCACAAAACCGAAATTCGAGCAATGGGAATAATAAGAATGCAAGTGAGTGAGCGAGTGAGCGAGCGAGAGGAGAAGGGGTAAAGAGATAACGATAAAATTCAATTAAATTGCTCTCTTTTGCCGAAATTGTTTTGATAGGAAATATAAACAATTTTCCATTGTTATTGTTATTCGAAAACCGAAAACGTACCGAACAATTAGTATTTGATTTTGGATTGGGCGGGCAACGGATGTACTCTATATCTTGTTGTTTCTTTTGCTTCGCAATGTGAACATTCAGACGATAACGAAAGAAAATGGAAAAACAAAATGTCAATTAACTTAACTACTTATCAAATATTCATGGACCGTTACGGCACTGCTCCAGTACTTGGATTGGGGAATATAGCAACTGACCAAAACGAACATTCAGAAATGTGGATTCAAGTGAAAACCGAAATTAAATATTTCATATTTCTTGGTAGTTTGTGTTGGTGTTGCTGGTGTTGCTAGTGTTGCTAGTGCTGCAGCTTGTGAAATATTTTCAGAAAATGGCGAATAATGTTATGGCGAATGGCACCCATCTCACGTTCCAAATCGTTTTCATTAAATTTAACGTTCAAACTAAAAACAACCAACCCTATACATTCCGTTTTCATTTGTTTTGCTAACGAATTTCCGACAAATGTCGAAATGCATGTATGAAATGTTTAATTCTATATATGTATGTATGTCCTTCTCATTCTTTCTCGTTGCGTCTCTATTTACCGTATTTTTGTTGTTCAATTGCAATAACTGTACGAGCCGATGATAGTAAAATGGAGCGGATTGTATGAACGAATTACGGCTACGTGTTCTCATTAGACTGCCGACTAAATAAATCGGATAGCACAAATATACGGATACACAACTATTCCACAATCGCAGAGTGGGTGTGTGTGTGGCATGAGCACATATTTTGATTTACTTAAGCAAAAAAAAAAACCATAGATGTACAAGATTTTGGTTGATAAAATTTGTGTGCTGATATTTTCGAGTTCTTTGCTACTTTGAAAATGTGCGCCAATTTAAATGTAAGAGCTGATTACTCAAATCCAGATGATATCCATTGCTAAGATTTGAAATTGGCCAAGATTTGAAATTCATCGAATGAACTTTGCTGCTTTTGAAATTATGTTCAATGAACACACTGTTCACGGAAAATATATCGTCTTTAATTAGCTCGCTTCATAACACATAGTATTTGAGCATCAATGCGGATTTCCCAAATGCACAAAGTGAACGAATTCTCGAAATATTCTAACGCTGCTGTTGCCATTGCAGCTGCCGCTCAAAGTGCAAGTCAAGCATAACATTTAATCGATGCCTTCTAATTATCACGATAAATCTAATGGTATTTTGACATTGCTGCAATACAAACGGCTCATAACTTGTTTAAGATAATTGCAGATTAGGTAAACATTTTGAGAGATTGTGTGAGATATGGGAATGTGAGAGCATATATTCAAATGTTTCCAAATAATAATAATAATAGAGATTCGATACAATTTGAAATGGATTCAATGTAAATGATATAGTTTTAGTTGGTTGACATATGTCGAATTGGATATTGCGGGATGATTTAGTGCCGTTCACTTTTCGAAGTAATCAAATGGTACACAGAAAGACAACAGCATGTGTAAATACAATGATGATGCGATGCGCCGTTATTCAATGCTATACAGACACAAATAAACCCACCCATCCACCCAACCCATCCACCCATATATGCAGTCAGTCAATGACTGATCAACAAGCTCACAATTATCATTTTGCCAAAAGCAATTTTCCATTCACCTTTATCTATGGAGTAAATGTTTTTTCGGTAATTTTCAAATCCGTTGATTTCCACAATTATGCTAATCAAATGTTAAATTTTTTAAAAGTTATTTGTATCATTTTACTCATTTTGATACGATATAGTGCCACCAGTTGAAAATGTACATTTGCCATATTTTGCATACAACATTCAGCAATGATAGCTTTGTGTAATCCATTGTCATTAGCCAAAATAATGATAATAATCTCACAGTGCAAACATGAATTTGAAATCAAATATACGTAAATTAATTCCATGAAATGATTTTCATGCTTTTGGTTATAATATTGTATGTGAAAAGTGTAAGTGTGTGTCATTCTTGCTGCAACCAGGCGACGACAACCACATTTTAATACAAAACTGAATAGGAAAGAGCAAAACCCGGGAAATTGCATTACTGCTACTGCTGTACTAATGGGTTTTATGATGTAACTCAATCTAGAGAATATCAGTTGCAATGAGAGAGCAAAAATCCCCAGTCTATATGTGCGTGCATGCGGTGTGTGTGTGTGTGTGTTATCAAACCATTGCTCAGACGGCGTGTTGAAATGAGAACTGATAAATAATTTATGATGTGCAATAAAACATTCAAATTTATTGTGTATTCTATGATCATGTGTGTGTCTTGCGGATGCATCTAACTCTCTTCCATTCACTCCAATCTATATTATGTGCATTTTATTGGTAGCAATATACTGCTATAATGCATGATGCTATGCCATCGAAAATGTAAACAACCTTAAAATAATAATTTATGGTTTTGAGTGGTATGCAATTTAATTGCAACCAAAAATGTGTTGTATGTTCATTCTTTTGTCTCGTACATTATTTTCCTTAAAGTCACGTTCACTTGTATCGACAAACCAAAAGCGATTTTATTGACTTTATCGATTTTTATGGAAAAACTGTATCACATTAACTGATGGTCAATTGTTTTTCTCCTCTTTTGCTCCTCTCTCTCTCTTTTTTGCTCTTTTGTGCACATTTAGTTGATATGTTCTCGATGGACAATGAACATTCTCCCTTTCTCTTTCACTCTGTTGTTCATTCTATCTATCACTGCACAAAATTATCGCATTTTCCGTTTAAAGTATATTGTATAAATGGAGCGAGGAATGAATACAATGCAAATATGGCAGCATTCTAAAATTGGATCGATGCAACGTGATGATGGTGCGATTGCAATTAAAATAATAATAATAATAATTGCTTTCACATACTTCACTCTTTTGCATCCAATTGCTAGCAGTGGTAGCTGGTACCCGATGCTGATGATGATTTTGCTGTTGCCCATTACTGTGGTTGGCTATCGATGCAAACTCGCCATCCAAGAAAACCAGTATGCCGCTCATATCAAATCATAGTATACACATGTATGACGGATGCCAGAAAATACATTCCAGTTATTTTAATGTCGTTCACTCGTATGGTGGACAAGTTGCTTTTTTTTAATGACATTACAATTTACATACATAACGACAGAATTCATATTTTAGTGAGCCGATTTGTGGTTTCCTTCACATTCATTCGACATAGCTATTACATTTCCATCCGTATTATTGGCAATCGGATTGTCGACATAACAATGACATTTCCACCACGGTAAAACATTTCTCGCCCATCAAACATGGAC